GTCTAACTTTTAGAAACATTTCAATTTTTTCCATTTTTTTCTGAGAAAGTTTAGGGTTGGAAGTCCTGAAAAGTTGCCGGGAAAAATTTCAGACCGTTTAACAATTGGACTGCTTGATCAGGTACCGGGACCAGCGCTACGTCGGGACGCACTTCGTTGGCACGCCGCTGCTGCACATCCACGACCTGGAGATCATCCGCGAGGTGCTCATCAGGGAGTTCCAGGACTTCAACGGCCGCGCCATGTACTCGGACCCGGACAACGACATGATCTCGGGCCAGCTCTTCCTGCTCTCCGGCCAGCCCTGGAGGACCCTCCGCGTCAAGCTCAGCCCCACCTTCACCACCGGGAAGTTGAGGTGCTTACTTAGAGATTTGAATTTTCAGGATAAGTTCAACTTTTCCGGAAAAATACTTTTTGTTCCGGACAATTTTCAGTGAAAATTTGAAAAACAAAACGACAAAATTAGTGGGCTTTTCTAAAAGATTTGGTTTTTCCCCCTGTTTCTTTCGTTTTCTCCACAACTGTTCCTGTTATTTTTCCGGCATTCAAATCTCAAGAGGTACTGTATTGTATGACCCATTGTCGTCATTATCATCATTACAATATCAGTATTACGTTATCAACTTTCTATACTATCGCCATTGTTATTTTCGCTGTGAACAAGACAACTTTACTTTCCTCATCGGCTTTGCCAAACGTGTGCGGCTGTCTTATCGCATCAAGACTTCCTAACTCATCACTCTCTGTTATCAGTAGAATCCGTACTGACCCCGCCAATAATAATACTCGCACACAAGCCTCTCGAGAAAGCGTATAAATATGCTCCCGCACTTCAGAAACACTTGACGCTAGAATTGCATTTATTGTGCAACTTATTTCTTTTTGAAGTTCACTGTTGCGGAAGAGAACATAGTGAACTTGGGGCTCGAGTAGGGTTGGAAGCCTGGAAAGTTTTCAGAAAATATCCGGAAAAATAAGAAAATTTTTATTGACTCCGGAAATTTTTGGAAATCTTTCGGAACTCTTTCGGAACTTTTTCGGAAATTGTCGGGAAATTTTCGGTAATTTTCAACCTTAGGCTCGAGGTACCCTCTCGCGCTTGGCTCCCTCTCTTCTAGTGTGTGACGTTTGGACTTTCTTTTGCCCCCTCCTCTCGGACACAGGTTCATGTTCACGACGTTCAAGAGGTGCGGCGACCAGCTGCGCGAGCACATCGCCTCCGAGGTGCGGGCGGGCGGCGGCCGGACCGTCATCGAAATCAAGGAGCTGCTGGCGTGCTTAGGCACGGACATCATCACCTCGGTGGCCTTCGGCATCGAGGCCAACACGCTGGCCAACCCCAAGTCCGAGTTCCGCCGCATCCCTGCGCTCATTCTAGACCCTTCCGTCGGGGTAAGTCTGACGTGACGGAAACCTTTCCGGAAGAAATAGGAAACTTTTTTC